CGTTTGTATCTTTTGTCAGTCCGTAATCCTTTTCTCCAAATCCTTCAGTCCTCGCTGTTTCCGTTGCCATGATATCCGTCCAATATGTTTATAATTACTATTAAATTACCGGTTTATGAAGAGAAAAACTAACTGCTTCCCCAGACAGTGAGAACACTGCTGGGGAAAATAATAAATAAAAATGCACAGAAAAACTCCACATTATAGTATGAATGGAAAAAAGAAATGAAGCAAACAAAGCACACACGCTGCTGCTGCTGCCGCTACCTGAACTCCCACACTCTCATCTCTCCTCTCCGCGTCTCTCATCTCACAGATCTCTCTCAGTCCATCTCCTCTCCTCTCGCAGCTTCTGCGTACACACACTCCACTCTGCACTGCGTGCTCAGGGTGGTATGGCCGTAAGCGAGAGCTGCACCTGCAAATGGACCTTTTAAAGACGTTGTTACACCATGTTCTGTTTTTCTGTCGGATTAGGGTCTATGTGTATGAGAATGTGAGAATACATTCAAGACGTTTATTTATGTACCTACGATTTGATGACCAACCTTTATTGATTTGTTTCATGCACTTAGTAGACGGATGAGCCAAGCCTGTTGGATTAGGCCAGTCCTGATGAACAGGAGAAGGTAGGCGATCTCGACTAGCACCAATCCGGACCTGGGAGGCGGGGGACCCTCTGCTGTGTTGGAGGCAGAGCGTGGCTGGACCAAGGCTGGATGTGTGGTGGTAGGGGAGCCATCATCCACCACGTCAGGAGTGGGGGTCTGGCCAGGAGATGGGCGCTCACTCAGCTTGCGCTTCCCTGGAAGCAGCAGTTGATCCCCACTGTCCAGAGTTTGGAATTTGTTGCTCAGCAAGAGAGTGTCAGCTGTGATTCGTCGGCTGGAACGTTTAGCACGCAGCACACTTCTGACCCGAACCCATGACTCCGTGCTGCGGGGAGTGGAGCAGGCCTGGAACTCAGGTCCAGCCCAGAGGGTGGGCCACGAGTCGATGCTAAGAGCTGGGATATTTGTCGAAAGGATGGGCTCCTCAAACAAACAATGAATCCAGCAACCGATAGGAGTAGCGTGTGGAAACACATCATGGTAACTTTGGATAGGTTGACAACGTAGACCCTTACAAACAGTGCTGCTACTGTATTTTGTCATATGATCTGCTGACCTTTCTTTCCAAACATCATTTTAGACCATCCTGACTCTTTCAGCGCTCTGCTTTTGAATCTGGATGGATGCTCTCAATGGTGCAGCGGTAGAATTTCAACAGAATCTGAGCAAACAGAAGGACTTTCTTCATTCAGGAAGAAGAAATGCTTGTTTGGACTCTTGATCAGGGTACAGGAAAAACGGCCACGCCTTAGACCGCTCGGCCATCCTGACTCCTTGAGCCCTCTTTTTTTGGATCTCGAAGGATGGTCTCGGTGGTGCAGGGGTAAAATTTCCACTGAATCTGAGCAAACAGAAGGAAATCTTCATTCAGGAAGAAGAAATGCTCGTTTGGTCTCTTGACGGGCTAAGCGTAGATAACTGGGCTAAGCGTACACTGAGGATTGTTGGAAATAGCCCCTTAAGCCTCCGATTTGAATGATTCTTACAATGAATCCACGAACCGATAGGAGAGTAGCGGTGTGAAACTTCTGTTTAGAAGCAGCAGCCTCTGCTGTTTTTTAAGAAAAGAAAAAGCTTACAGCACCTGGTATTCCTAGGCAGTCTCCTATCCAAGTACTAACCAGGCCCAACCCTGCTTAGCTTCCGAGATCCGTCGAGTTTGCGTGTTCAGGGTGGTATGGCCGTAAGCAAGAGCTGCACCTGCAAATGGACCCTTTAAAGATGTTGTTACGCCATGTTCTGTTATTCTGTCAGAATAGGGTCTATGTGTATGAGAATGTGAGAATACATTCAAGAGTTTATTTATGTATGTACAAATTTGATACATAGGTTGAACATGGTAAAGCCTTACAAACGGTGCTGCTAATGTATTTGCTCATATGTGTCTTTTTCCAAAACACAGGTTTTGCGGCAATGGTTCCCAGTGAAAATGCTTGCTGTCAGAAGTGGGATTCGAACCACCCCTCCCCAGGGAGACCTGCGACCGTGGTATCTGCTAGGCATCTTGATGACCAAACCTTTCATTGATTTGTTTCATGCAGATTAGTAACGGATGACCATGTCCGGCAGAGAGCCGTGTTCATGAAAATTCACAGAAAATGATCCACAATTATTCCAGCAAAAGGTAGGGGTAGTATGTGGAAACACATCATGGTAACTTGGATAGGTTTGACCCTCACAAGAAACAGTTGATACTGTATTTTGTCATATGAACCTTTCTTTCTAGTAATCCTTGGAAGAACTTTCATCGTCGTCAGCCTCAACAACTTGCTCCCCCGGTTAACTCTTTTACCTGTCACTGGCATTAAATCAGGTTCCACCGAGATTTGAACTCGGATCACTGGATTCAAAGTCCAGAGTGCTGACCATTACACCATGGAACCACAAGACAGACATGTTTAGCTTTTGCAACATAATTAGGTCTTTCTCAGAGATCAGGTTTTCAAGTAAGGTTAAGCGTTGTAAGGCTCAAAGGTTTTAAAGACATGCGAACAATTGCGTCTATTTCGACAAACTTACAGCTGTTTCGTTCACTGACAAGAAAAGGAGTAACTAAATAGGATTGCGTGTTTAACAAAATTCATTGTGAATGTATTCATCAACGGGGTTTGCAGGAAACTTCCTCATGCACGAAGACAGGACATTACCCCACAGAGGACAAGTGGCATTCCATGCGGTAGAGCTTCAAAAGCAGGTCCCACCGAGATTTGAACTCGGATGGCTGGATTCTTAGTCCAGAGTGCTAACCATTACACCATGGAACCGGTCCACAGCACTGACAGGTACTATCTCGCGCCGAACTCCCATGGATGTTACCGATGCAGAGAATAGGGGATGGAAGACACGACATACGACTGCCTACAAACAATGAATGCAGCAGCAGATGGGGGTAGCGTGTTGAAACACATGGCACCTTTACATAGGTTGACATGGTAAAGCCTTACAAACGGTGCTGCTAATGTATTTGCTCATATAAACTGCAAGCCTTTCTTTCCAAACACAGTGTTTGCGGCAATGGTTCCAGTTGAAAATTCTTGCTGTCAGAAGTGGGATTCGAACCCACGCCTCCAGAGGAGACTGCGACCTGCCTTCGGATCGTCCGGGGAAATGTTGAACAATGGCACCAATCGCGTTTGAGAAGCTGCAACATTCTGTAACATTCTTCGCCAATCTCCGTGTCGCATTCTTCCCGGCTCTGAACATTTGACCAATCAGGGGCAAGAAGCGAAGCACTTGCTACGTTTGACCTGAGGGAGGCATTCAAGTTCCCGTTAGAGTGTGGAACAAGCTAAGTAAAGCATTTGCGGTTGAAGTTGTCATATTTCGTTCACTTTATCGAAATGGTGAGTGCACTATTTGCGACAGCGTTTGATGATATATATAATTTCATGTTAGAAAAATAACTCACTTGTCGTAGTGGTTGTGTTATTATGTTTTATACTACGTTATAACTTAAACTTACTATCTGACCGCATGTCAGCTGATCTGTGCTAGGCTAGCCTGTTATTCAGAGAGCATGACATACATGAATAATTTCAATAAATAAATAATTTCAGCTAGCTGTAACGGCATACGTGTAGAGAAAAATTACTGCAAAAAAAAAAAAAAAAAAAAAAGAAAAAAAAAAAAAAAAAAAAAATAAAAAATAAGAATATAAATTAAAATAAATAAAAAACAAACAAAAAAAAAGAAAAAAAAATAATAAATAAACCAACAGAAAAAAAAAAAAAAAAAAAACACGGTAGGCTATGACCTAACGGGTAACGTTTGGTGGGTTTATGATAAAACGATCACCTTGTACTTTTTTACCATAATTTGTTAATTTTTTAATTGGCTACTGGTAGTTAATTATATCCCTCTCTCAATCCTTTGCACCATTTCACGTAAAGTATTGGGCTGGAGTTACGTGCGTTACTGATAAATAAATATATATATATTATTATTATATATTATTATAAAAGCCATTAGCCCATAAAACGTTATTATATATATTATATATATATAGATATATATATATCTATATATATATATTCTATATATATACTACTATATATATATATATATATTATATTATATATATTATAACGTTATATAAGGCCCATTGGTATGGTAGTGATGACAACCATAATAAAACCTTAGGGATACAAGAAAACTAATTACTATTGTTGTCATATGTACACACTGTACACTTTACGAATGGTTACTCGCTTGTAATGGGAATCAGACTTAATTCATGATCCTTTAAACAAATTATATTATTATTAACATAAGGTGGTTTGCTTCACCAATGGGTAGGTGATGGTTTATGTCTGTGGCATTCATTTTGTATCACAATTGATGGTTGTTCATGCATTAAAAAATCATCACAAATTGAATTTATCACCAAAGGCTTAAAATCAAAAGACACACAAGGCGATGTCCGCTCAGAGGGTGATGTCACGCCTGGAGGAAGTTCGCCAATACTGGAGCTGGCCTTCAAATGAGGGAAACAGGGCCAGTCTAGCAGAAGAAGGGCATGAGCTTTATCAGGAGTATGATACTTTAGTATTATTTTAGTAATTGTTATTACTCTCTAATACATTCTGTGTCACCATATCACAAGTATAGTCAATGTTACATAGGAGGTATAGAACATTACTAATGGCATAATAATGTTAGCTCCTCTGTAATTACTCCATGGCTCCCAACTCAATGGAAATGTACAACTGTTACTTGTAGATTGAAAAATGCTACCAATGATTGAGACCTAGGACAGAAGTCCCCTGTTTCCCTGGCCAAGTCACGTTGTGGTGTGTGGATTCCACACTCAGAAGTAACACTCTGCGTCAATTATAATTGTGTGTGTGCGTGTACATGTGCACTCAAAATCAGTACACAAACTAAAACTAGATGGTGTATAATTTTGGGTTAACAGCCAGCCAGGAGCAAATTGTTGTGACAGAGGGCCGTGCAGGACAACAGGCGCTGCTGCAGGAGGTCCGCAGTTTGTGCGGAACCTAGCTGCTGCTTGCGGTTGGCCTCAGGCTGCTGCTGGGGTTGGACTCAGGCTGCTGCTGCAGGGAGGTCCGGCAGGGCTTGCTGCCTGGCGGTTGGACCTCAGCTGCTGCTGCAGGGAGTCCGCAGGTTGCTGCTGCGGTTTGCGACCTCAGGGCTGCTGCTGCGCGGTTGGACCCCAGGTTGCTGCTGCAGCGTAGTCCGCCAGTTGTGCGTGGCTAGTGCTGCTGGCGGTTGCGACCTCAGGCTGCTGCTGCAGGGAGTCACGCTCCAGTCCAAGGCCGCAGTTTTCTGAGGCCATCATTGCATTTGTCAATGGTAATTATTCAAACTCATAATAGTTATTAACACTCATAAAAGACCATTAATATTTTACATTTCATTCACTGAATGATAGTTTGACAATATGTTTCTCTCATGATACAGCCTTTGTCTATATTATTTTTCAGTTTACCAAGTCAAGATACGGTGGCACCCACGTCTCTGCAGCAAGACCGAATTTAAGCGTGGCCAGAAGGGTGACCAAGGTATGAAGAGATCAAATTGAAAGTGTTTAAAGTGGGGTTCTTAATACAAGTTACTCAGACAATACTTTACAGTTACCAGTCCCGGACACCCAGGAGAGTGCCAGTTCTCCAGCCAGCTCAGCCATCTCAGTGAGTTACCTTTTCAAATACAGCTTGAGCATTTTTAGTTCTACAAGCAGTTTCATAATATGTATAGCATCCATAGTGTTTTTTTTTCCAACAAATGTGAGTATTCTTTGACATACCTTTACAGACTCCAGACCCTCAGACAGAGGCTCAAGCTACAGTGCCTGATGTAGCAGTGTGTGCCTCTGTGTCGGTAAGTAATTTAACATTTATTTTCATATGTAGAGCTTCATTCAGCAGTGTCTTTTAGCAGTGGCTATACATTGTTTTGTTATTTCAAAGACTGAGTCCAGGACAGCACCACAACACCTTGGGCCTGCATCAGCACCTCTGCTGCCCCGTTTGTGGTCAGAGGGATTGCCACCTGAAGACCACAGGTGGATTTCCAAGGTGCTGTTCAGGTTGGGGTCCAAGGGGAAGCTGGAGCTCCAGGACAACCTGAAGCTCTGGTATCATCCACCTCAGCCAAGCCAGCTGTACCACCAGGCCCCTGCTCCGGACCGCTTTTTTGCCCACCCACTGCTTGTTTGGATGCCATACAAGCTGTGGAAGGTGAGGGTGGTCTGTCCTAACCCCGCTTGTGGGCAGCATCAGCTGACTGGGGCAGGGCTGCACAAGAGGTCACGACGGGTCTTGGACGTGGACAGGACCTACAACATGGTGACGGAGACTCTGACCTGCACCAAATGTAGAGCCTCCCATGTCTCATGGAGCCAGACTGTCCTCATGCAGCTGGACTTGGCTCACAGGTCAGAATTTAGAGCCATCCTGACTCAAAAGTGAGTAGCATCTCTTTTCTGTCTTACCTTGCCAAATAGAATCAGATTAATAATTTCATATGTTCTTACTGATATATTTGTCTTTGAAAAAGGTTTGCCTGTGATATTCGGGTGATCCGGCTGCTGCGGGAGAGAGGCCTGGGCAACAGCCCTACGCGGCTGTTAAAACAGCTGAAGGAAAACCACACGGAGGAGTGGCTGAACCGTGTGGCTCGGTACACAACCGAGTGCGTGGCCTTCCTCCAGCGCCCCGGACTGTTGCCCATGAACTTTCCTGAGCCACCTGAGCCTTCTGTGGTGCCAAGCTGCAAGTGGCTCCTGTCTGTGTACAGCCAGGATATATTGACAAGGCTGGATGACATCAAGGCCAAGCTGACATCCACGCTTGGCACCATCTTAAAGATGGATTCAACCAAGAAGGTTTGAAGATATTATTTACTTTAAAATAGGCTACACGCATTAACTACTTCCAGTCAGTATTTCAGTATTTCTGTATCACATTCAGACTGGCTCTATACATTTTGTGTGCTTCAGATCACTAAGAAGCTTGCCGGGACAGCCAAGGGGACAGCACTCTGGCTCACCTCCGTGGGCAATGAGTATGGGCAGATACTCATGAGTGTGCTGACCGCTCAGGAGGGAGCTGGACTGGACCCGATGGCAGCTGACCTGGTGAGGAGGTACCAGCAGGCCGGCGTGGATCCCCCTGTTGCCCTTTACGTGGACTGTGGCTGTTGTGCTGGTGCAGCTGAGGACACCAAGCTGAAGGCCAGATTCAGCGGGTGGCCAGACCTCATTGTTAGGCTGGATATCTGGCACTTCATGCGCCGGCTGGCCCTGGGATGCACAACAGATGCACATCAGCTGTACCCACTCTTTATGTCTCGCCTGTCAGCTTGCATTTTTGAGTGGGATGCAGCTGACTTAGCTCTGTTGCGTGAAGCAAAATCCCAGCAGCTTCAGTCCCAGGGCCTGTCAACCCTTGATGTTGACCGCCATTTGTCGAGGGAGGAATTGGCTCTCCATTGCCGGCGGAGGACCCGTGGGGAGGACACCACTACTGAGGTGCTGGAGGGGCTACTGCGGGCACTCATGGGGGACCGTGGCAACGACTCCCTCGGCGTTCCTCTGCTCGATACAGAGAGGATGGAGCACATTTGGCGGGTCCAGAGGAAGCATGTGAAGTGCATCCAAGACCCGCCAGGTGTAGCTCTGTACACAAAAACAGGGGAGCTGACCAAGGGAGGTGTGCGGCTACCTATGTTCCGGTGTGCCAGAGGCTCTACGTCCTTGGAGTCTTTCCATTTACACCTAAACAGATTCATACCAGGTTTGTGCCTGTCAGACATGCTGATTCATGTGTTGTGTTGTCCAAGAATATTTTCCTATTTAATATTTTATGTATATGTCAATGTACTTCTAGGGACTAGTGCCAATAGCTTAAACTTCCAAGTTTACCTGCTGGAAGGACTACACAGGTGGAACCAGGACCGTGGTGGTGCTGCCCTGTGTACAGGACCATCTGCTCTGCGCAGTTACTCAGGGGACCTGCTTACCTGCGTGAATAGTAACTTTGAGAAGCTGTTCGGCAGGAAAGTGGCACCAGAGTTCTGCCCACCATCACGTTACACTGGTAAGAATTTGTGGACAAATTGGTCATTTAAATCTGTTTTCATTATTGGAGAGCCGTGTTCGGAGCAATTGTGAAATACTTACAATAATACACCTGTGATTGCAGTCATTGCAATCAGTATTACTATGCCAAACAAAAACTGTTGCTGCATCTGTGCCTTGCCTGATTAACTTATCCTCTGTTGTTTTAGGTGAGCTCATAGGGGTGCAGTATCTGTTCCGGCAGACTGGTCAGGCACTGCAGGATATGCACCCTGATTCAGAGGTGACAGCTCAGCTCATTGAAGAGCATGATGTGGAGGATGACGTGGGGGAAGATGAGGGCTTCTCTGACCTCATAGAAGACCCCACACTGCTGGACATAGAGGCTCCTGATACACCAACCCTGGCCCCTGGCAGAACCACTCTGGCCCCTCACACTGAAGAAGCAGAGAATCGTTACGTAATTAATCATTTAAAATGATTGAATTGATTACTTTCCTTTTGCTCAGCAATTTAAAGCTCATTGTTTCAGCACAACTCTTTCATTGCAATCTAATAGAAATCTAAAATCATTTAAGACCATTCTAGATCTTCCAGGAGTTGTTGTTTTTTTTTACAATACAGAACAGCACCCACAACAGGTGATAATTTACTGGTAGGCCTAGTATTGACACCTAACCCCAGTTTTATTCCTACATTTTTAATGACGCATCGTCCATGAAAGTGAAACTGTTGGTTGCACTTTGTATTTAACAGAATAACAAATGTAAATGTGATTATTAATAGGCTGTATGCATGTAGATATCTACAGCATTTCCACTGGGCTTCTCTGAGAATCCGCGTGTTTTTGGAAGAAAAAAAATAGACCTAATCTGTTCCAGTCCACGTCTGGTATGAACAGCCAGATTGATTAACGCAGGAGCCAAAATGAAAAGGGGTTGAATCTGCTTTAAAATGTCATACCACACAGCTTATCCTACAAACAGCCAAGTTAGAAAACAAAATACAACACCTAGGTTTATGTTAGGCGATCAGAATAAGGCGGCTAAAATATAATCAACTGGAAAACTAGTCTACCGGATATTTCAGGGTTTTCCCAGGAGGTGTGAGAACTCTGATTATTGCTTCAGATGCACAAGCGTTGCTTCATTTTTGCTTTAATTTGACTTCCTGAATCTTATGACCTGCTCTCTCTGTTGGCACAGTGATATGAAACATATGAAACATACACTTACCAAGATCTAATTCTGTGCCCCTGTTCAGTTATCTCCTGTTACATGCTAATGTTTGTCCCAAAAAATCTTCCTTAAAAATAATTATAAAATGCAATCCCCTCCATTTTCCTCCTTCACGG